GAGTAGAATGCCTTTTTGCCCTGTAGGGCACGGTAGGATTTTCAAATACGTACGACCATCGTAAACCTCCGATTTTTGAAATTGGGGTTTAGGATAATCGGACATATATTTTGGAACGAAACCTTTATGTCTCGATCCAAGTAAGCATGAATTATGATACGAGTACTTTACTCGTCGAGTGCACGTACGAGTACGAGTTCGTACTCGTAGCTCTAACTAATTTTTTGCGATAAAAACCGAATAGAAGGGTTACTTACTGATGACGGGAAAATGACATGCAGAGTTCAAACTCACACAACGACCAGCTTAGAGAAGCAATAGGTTTGTGCAACGAGAGGTTGGACACACCACAGTTTTATAGTGCGATAAACAGATACGACGCGGGAGCAATAGCCGACCGGATCTTAGAATTGCCGTATATTGGATGACCCAGCCTCKWGGAGAATGAAGTCTGTTGCAGCTACCAAGAAAAACCCTGCGATTCCAAAGGCAACCCGTGCCGTCCTCCCTCCTCTATCTACGACAACAACTACCGCAGCATTGTCACAGGATCCCACACGCCTGCTCGATGCATTCGACTCCTACGTTTCAACCCGCCGCAGCAGCGGGGCACATCCCGATCCGATCGACTTTATCAATCAACATTATTCCAGCGAGTCCCTATTGGTGGCGCAATTGCCCGAAATCCGCGATGCCATCAGCGAACGAATGAACCGCCTCGACGATCGCATTTCGAATGCGCTCCAGCGACAATCAGAATCGGCCGAAGCTACCCAAAGGCACGTGGAGGAAGCCAAGGTGAACGTGGCATCGTTGGAAAAACGCATTCGTCAGGTCCAAACAAAGGCTTCTCAAAGTGAAAAAACGGTGAGGGAAATCACTAAGGACATGAAGCGATTAGACTGTGCTAAGCGTCACCTGCAAAGGACCATTACTACTCTAAAACGTTTGCACATGCTGATTCATGCTGTAGAAGGTTTGCGGCAGTCATGCTTGCTGCAGCCTCATCCGGATTACAAATCGGCTTCCCATCTAGTAGATGCAACAAGGTTGTTACTCAAGCATTTCGATGCATACAAACACAAAGTTGAACCTCTGGGATTGCTCAGCAATAAGGTAGATGATTTGCAAGGAGAACTGAAGTTCCGGTTGGTTCGTGGATTTCGCATTGTTGGGTTTGGTGTGGAGAAGACACGAGAGTTCGAGAAAAAGAAAAGCAAACTAAAATCCCTCGTAGATCCGGAGGATGATCCATTCTGGCAAGCGGAGAAGGAACAAGAAGACGACTCTTCTGAAGGAAACGAAACAACAGAGGAATTCGAACTTCCGCCTACGATGACACCTGATGCAATGTCTGGCGGAATTTTATTGATCGATGCGATTGGAAAGGAAGCAAGGATTGAATTCATGACGGGTGAGTTATTAACATTGAAAATGATATTCGGACGATCAATTCTTCTGGTCTGCCAACTAAGCTCAATTATGTACTTGTCTTGCTTTTCAACTGACAGGTATCGTTCAAGATTACTTGGTCGATTACAGCAAGATTTATAAACCAGTCAAGGAGCAACCCAAGGAAAAARCACGCGTTTCTAGCTTCATGGCACAACCAGAAAACCCGGAAGATGATGTGAAACCAGAATTTGCGCTTGAGTTTGTTGAGAAACGATTTGTTTGGTTTCAAAATATGCTAACCGAAATCCAGCAAAAATTTCCCGGGGTATTTCCCCCGTATTGGAACTTGGAATACCATCTCACAAAAAATTTCCTCAGAAGGGTAAGTCAAGTAGAGATCGATGGTGCAAAAAGTAAAACAATTACCAATTGTTCTCACCACCAATACCATAACACTTTTTGAAATGAATAGACGCATGGCCATTTGCTGGCGTTGTTTAATGGACCTACGAAAGATCCAGACGCGAACAATGCTACAATTCTGCTGAAAACATTGCAAAAGACTATTATTTTTGAGAAGGACGTATCCAGTGCGCTGCAACGAGAATATGGTGTTAAATTTCGTGATCCGAAGAGCAAGGATGYGAAAGATAACGCAGTGAACGCTGGTCTGACTTCCAAAGGTGTTTCGTCCATGAATCAGAAGACCCCTACTAAAAACAGAGACGAACAATCAAGTGCGAATGACGGTGACGGAAGGGCTCCAACACTCCAAGAAGAAGTCGACCCATTGCTKGGAGTTGCATCTGGTGCGTTTGATAAATACATGCGACCCTACATTGCCTTGGAAGAGAAGAGCATGGACGAACAGCTTGTTTCTGCCTTGGAAGACAGAACAGTCGATACACGAGGAAACCAACCTGTCTATACGAGCTCCACAAAATTATTCGTCTATATCAAAGGCAGTATTACACGGTGCACCGCTCTCACCAAGGGTAATACGTTCTATCTTTTGCATAGAGCCTTCCAGGATTCTCTTCGCAAATACACTGTGGTACTCTCGAGAAAACTCCCCCCACCGCTAGCAGAAAAGAGTGTGGGTCCATTGAATATGCCACCTGTACCGTTTGCCAGCAAACAAATTCAAGAACCAACGCCAGCGCAGGTAGCTTCGTATCGAGTACCGCCGGGAGAAGAAGTGACTGTTTGCCATGTGATCGGAACATGTGAATACTGCGCTGAAACAGTCGAAGCTCTTGAAGATTTGATTCGAGACACGGTAGACGATGAGTTCAAGTCAAAAATTGATATGATGGGAACTCAAGAAGGTARGTTTCGTCTCTGTCTATTTAATAGTATTTTTCCTAATTTCGTTGTTACTAAACGCACRTTTTTGCTTTTACAGCCTTCCATGAAATCACTGCGAAGTGCATTCGAATTTTGGTTAGTGGAATGGAGAATCGATTGGAGGAACCTTTGAAAACAATGAGTTCGACAAATTGGGCAACGTTTGCGGAAGTTGGCGAAGAGTCTGATTATGTTCGAGATATACACAAAGAAATACAACCATTYGTATCCACTGCTCGAGGTTTGATACCAAAGTCTTACTTTCAAAACTTTTGTGACAAATTTGCGCTCGGATTCACCTCTACATACTAYGACAATTTAGTTCGTTTGAAGGCAGTAAGCGAGCCGGGTTCTCAACAGTTACTGTTGGATGTCTACAATCTCAAAACTTTGATTCTTAAACTTCCTGTTCTTGAGAAGTCGCCAGTTTCTACCTCAACAACACGGAAAGTTACTGGTTCCACGATTGCACCAGCAATGTACACAAAAATGGTTCAAAAGCAATTCAAGAAGATCGAGCTCTTGCTTAAAATGACAGCAACTCCTGTAAATCTTCTTGTTGATGTGTTCAAGGACCAATGGCCAGGTGGAACAGTCAATGATTTTCAGCAGGTCATGTCACTAAAAGGAATTCAACGAACACATCAAGTCAAAATGTTTGAAAAATTTGGTTTGGATCCTGCACAAGCAAGGAAGGGTGCTGTTGCGAGTGTCACTTCTGCAAAAATTGTGTCAGAACGATTTCAAGCTGTGCAAGATCAAGCCTCTAGAGTTGACATGAGTCAAATGAAGCAACGAGTCAGCGATTTTAGAAATGCTTTCCGTTAAGGTCGGGTTAGAAATCAGTCCTTTCCAGTACTAGCCGAATTTCATATTTGATTTTGATTCAAAGCAATCTAACTTTATAGATTACTAGACGACATTAATTCTGCACATCATCTTTACTCTCTATRCGCCTTTTCCTCTTCTTGCTTTCCTGAATCATTTGCTTCTTCTTGTGCATTTTCTTTTTGTCATAGCTCGATGTAGTATCAATTCTCCCGCGGCGTGGYAGAACCTTTTGGTTACGAGGCCTTTTCTTTAATTGCAGCATCCAGTCTTCAACCTTGCACCCACTTTGTTTCATGACGTTGGCGATCGTTCGAAGGTTATCAAAATCTGATTCGGTGAACAAAGTGATTGCTTTTCCCTTGCGGCCTGCCCTGCCTGTACGTCCGATACGGTGTACATAGGTGATGCCAGATGTCGGCAAATCGTAGTTGATGACCATGTTGACTGCTCGGAAATCAACTCCACGTGCGACTAGATCAGTGCTATCGAATGGAACGAAAGAACTCAMAAAGTTAGAGTGTGTACAGCTCAACAGTTTGAAAAGCGATGGAAGTTTAGCAAACATGTTCACTCACCAAATTAACACCCACGTTTCCCCTCTCCTAAACTTCGCTACTGCATTGTCACGAGCAGTTCGCGATCGTCCTGCGTGAATAACATCAACATGCATCTTTTCGTACAAGAGCTCGGAAAAAAGTGCCGTGGCTCGTTCCTGGCTCTGCACAAACACAATCGTAGGGGGCTTTAGWTCGCCTCGTTGCTTCAACTGCCTCATAGCTAATAATTTGCCTTCTTCTCTACCTACAAACATGAGTTCTTGTTCAATGTCTGTATTTGCCCCTCCATAACTTCCAGCTGCAGCAATTTTCAAATCAACAGGGTTTCTCAAAATATTCTCCGCCAGCGATTTCACGGTAGGGGTMACAGTAGCAGAAAAAAGTGCACGGACAGCAGTGGAGGGAATCGAGCTCAAGATTCGGTCCATTTGTACCAGAAATGTGTGTGATTGATCCGATCCGGATGACTGAGTGATGGCTTCCCCRTCATCTTCTCCTTCGGATGAATCACTGTCGTCCTTCTTAGATTGGTGTTTCTTTGATTCTCTGCGTTTGGTACTTTTTCCGTCGACGGCATCTAACAGTCGATCTGCCTCATCGAGTACTACCAATCGTACAGAGTCTAGACGCAACCCCTTTTCAATAGCATCTACCAATCGAAGCGGTGTGCTAACCAAAGCATCGAGACCTTTCTTGCCACCGGCCGTTCCTGCAATGACTTGGGCTGCATTCGATTTTGATAGTAACAGTGACGAGATACCACCCGGCTTGCCCAACCCCAGTCTCTCGACCTCACGATACAATTGAGCTGCCAGCTCTCGCGAGGGAGCTAGAATCAAGGATCGAATCTCTCCCTGCTTCGACCCGACATTCCAGGACTGCTTCTTTGCTTTCTTCTTGCTCTTCTTGGTGTTGTCGTTTTCATCAGTTGCTGTATTTTTGTTACTATAGAATATATGGTAGGGAGTCCCACTCAAAAATATTGCTGGCAGGATGAAAGCACCTGATTTACCACTTCCGGTTGGCGCAGCGCCGATCAAATCCCGTCGCTCTAATAAAGTAGGAATCGATTGCATCTGAATAGGAGTTGGCTCTTTCCACCTACCTGCTTCGACGTTTCGCTGAATTGCTTTCGAAATGCCCTGAAAGGAAGATACTGCGACCGTATCTACAGAGTCATCGGCAGAGTCGTCATCCGACGCACCATCATCTTCGTTGTTGCTATTGGTGCTGGATCTCTTCCCTCTCCACCAGCAAGGAGCCTCCAGTTCGTCGAATTTCGAAATGGGATCGGGTAGGTCTGGGTCTTGTTTGTTTGCGATTCGAATGGACATGGAACGCCGGAATGCTGCCATGCGTTCCTTATGTACGGCTTGCCGTTTGCTTTCACTCGTGTCACGTTTCCCCGTTCGGTCGCGCGAGGGCGTTGCCCGAGTTGACACCTCGTTTTGGTGAAGACCAGTATCGTTGTTGTTGTCCTCATCGAAAGATTCCTCGTCCCGCTGCCTCTTCTTCTTGCGTTTTCTTTTGTCCAGGCGTGCCGACGACGACAAGACCTTGAAGAGTTCGTCCATGATAAATAGTGCAGTAGCTAACGAATTTAGAATTGCGATAAATGCCGAGACGGTAGCTGATGTTGTCGTCGGATTTGCGGGTTAGSTACCTTACTGTTGAATGATGGGGCTACACTTCGAGATCCGACTTGTGAGAAAACCTGGAGCTAATGATTTACTAGTGTTTTGATTAGCGATGAATCGTGACAAGGATATTTCCCAGGGGGGACTTTCGAAAAACTCGTTCTCGTGTGCAGCACTAGTAAATGGTTGCCGTTGGATTAATCGTCCGTCGTCGCCCGTATCTCTTTCTCTTATTGGGCCTTCCGGAACCCACACGCACAAATCCCCCCTTTGAAATCCAACATCTGGGGCATGATTTCGTGGGTTATTTTTCCCATGTACTAACCCATGATTCTAAAACATGGGTTATTTTTCACCAGAAATAACCCAGGTTTTGAAATGTGGGTTCCTGGGTCAACCCACAAATATCCCACAAAATAACTCACAAGTTGTTTGTGTGGGTTAACCCAAGAATAACCCACAAATCTGCTGGGTCCATTTTAAACACCAAAAAACATTGATTAATTAACATTAATGACTACAATACTTAATATCCTTGGTTCTCCTCTAACCCAAARAATGACTCTTAAATTGTGGGTTTTTGTGGGTTATTTTTGCAATAAAATAACCCACATTTTAGAACCATGGGTTATCTTTCCCATGAAATAACTTTAATTCTAAAAGGTGGGTTATTTTTTATGAAAAATAACCCACATTTTTTTAATTCAAAAGGGGGGGATGTGTGCATGGGTTCTTGAGGGTCCAGGTCAAGGCAGCAGATTGCTTAAGGCCAATTGATACTACTGTAGTACTACTACTAGTACAGGAGTACACCACATACTAGTTCGTCAATTCTCAAAAAGGGGATCAACTCACTTTTCTTCTAGCACTTGATTTACACCTCTATTAGATAGTTACACCCTCAGGTTATGAGACCCTTGTTATGAWAAAAATCACCATCACCATGATAATTTTTAAGGTGTGCTCTCTCCTCACACAACTCTACCCCATACAATTGCCTATGTCCCTTTGATATGACATACAATGGATTGCATCACCCTCAATATTGTCAACCCTCTCTCTACTAAACACTAATAAATTGTCATTGCTACATCAACAACATTATCAATGCTCCAACCAATATGGTACTGGCCCATTGTTGCTCTCACAATAACTAATGCTGCACATACAAAATTCTTCTTTTGCATACATACAGAGTCATGTGTTGAATGAAACTCAACAATGTCAACATCTCATCACTGTCAGCATCAACATCATTCTCAAAAATTGKAAGAAATTTCCAACATTTGATGTCTCAAACCACACACAAAACCACTTGCACATCTGAACAACAAGACACAGAAAACACATTCAGCATTCCAACAGGATGAGTAATTCAGTTGCCCAATATATTAACTCCCAAACACGCACACTAAATATATATCAACTCCCACAGGTGTGTCCACCACAACTTCCATACAACAAAATAACTCCCAAGCAACTCAGAATTTACAAAGCATACAACCAATACACTTTAACACAGAGGACCACTATTACATACTGCCAAAAAGATATCATCATTCTYATAAAAACTGGTTACAAAAACTACATTGAAACTTATCACAACAATGCATTTCTCCTCCCCTCAGAAAAGAAATTTGATCCTGATAAAATATCTTGTCTTTTGAAAAAACCTACACTTTCTTTCTTTCCTCCCTTCCTTCTTCCTATACATGGCTCCCACTCCCAGGACCACAGGTACTACTACCTGCACCTTCTATCTCAAGATCTCCTATGTTGACATCTCCTTTGTGGATCACCAACTCCATAAAGACTTGACCAATGAAATGATCTATGACTAGTAGTATGGCCTCACCTTTGACCTGAACAACATCCTTGCCATTAATGGCTCCAACTGTCATGACCAAAACAAAGTCGTTGATGACCTCTATGAGATGTTTGTCCTCAACATCAAAGCCATGGCAGTTAACACAGCTGATGTGTCCCACATTGAAAACCTCGTCAAGGCCAAAACTTGACTGATGGGCTCTACAATAAAACTGACTACAAGACCATTGASAATGCTCACATCCTTGACCATTGTCTCATTTTACTGTGACAAAAAGGAAAACAAAAGTGACATCCTCTACCTCAAAATCAACTTGTCCGCCATCTACATCAATGCAACCAAATTCACCTTAGATGTCTACAACTTTGCCATTTTCTCTGACACTGCCTACCCACTCCTCCTGCTAGAGTKAACCCCCTCTGACCAATCCAACTAACCTGGCATCTCCATCAGTCAATCCAAACCTTGTCAAACTTATTAACAATCAAGCACAGAGGATAATGTTACAACATTGTCAAATGATTAACAAAATACTCTCATCTCCAGAGTTAAATTTCACACTGACAACACATGACAAATATATTTACCAAAATAAAAAACTCATGCTACAACAAGTTGATGGTTTTCTACTAGTATCACCCCCAAATTCAACMCTTGCAAATGAAATCTACAACAGCATTGGCAAGAAATTGTAACTCCCAAAAGAACAAAAAATACTACTAAAAATTTGGGACTTGCTATATCACACAGTGATCTTGATATCAAGCAAACACTATATTGAATTTTCTTGTGAAGACCACATCAACAGAATCACCGCTTTGCACAGTTCAACAGAACCAAAGCATGAACTCCTTAATTGTCCTACTCCTCTGCTTCCTGAAAAAGCATTACTAGATTGCATATTCAGCAAACAAGGTCCTCTTGAAGGAACTCCTGACCATGAGAAATAACAACAAAAGTATGGATTTTCCTGCCACACACACTCCTTGGTGAAATCCTTTATGTCTACAAGGTCTGTTGCCCCCGTATTGGATTTGCTGTATCTACTATGTCTAAATTTTCATCTCACCCAGCAGACATACACTTCAATATCTCAAAGGGGTTGCTTTATACTTTGCACCAAAATATGGGGACCACACTATTGTAAACCCCCTGACAATCCTCATCCAAATCTCCCTAATGGGAACTTCAACAATCAACCAATCCCTTTGCCTCATAATCTGCCACCATTTCCATCTTTACCAACAGATTCAACATTCACATGTCTTGTTGATGCTGCTTGGTATGGAAACATAAAAACAGAAATGTATTAATCCAGAACTGGCTTTGCAATCATGTTAGCCAATGCTGCTATTGTCTACAAATCCAAAACCCAAACACAAATAGCTCTCAGTTCCACCATAGCAGAATTCTATGGTGTTCCCTCTGCTGCAAAAATCAGTCTATACCTTTGATCTGTTCTCTCAAACCTTGGTTTTTGTTGTTATAAGGATAATGACTCTACTATCAAAATTGTCCTCTCTGGAATACCAACAGAATACTTGCAACACATTGACATTCCCTACTTTGCAATCCAAGATTGGAAATGCAATTCATATATCATGATGGAATTCATCAACAGAACTATGAATTCCGCTGATGCTCTTACAAAACCTCTTGGCTGGATATTTCACAATGGACACATACATTGCCTCTTTGGTCACTTTGCTCCCACTCCACCCAGACGATATCCTWCTTCCTTTTCTTTCCTGCTAGCTATGATCTATTTGACCTTGACCATCACAGATCACAGGAGGAGGGTGCCATCAGCAGGATATCATATCATATATATGACATGCCTATGGTACATACATGTGCTCTACATTTGCAATTCATTCAATCCTTGCCTATGGATCTTTGCAATTGACTTGACTCATTCAATTTACACACATCACTCAATTTTTACTTTGATTGATTTTAGACTTCATAGTTTGCCAATTCYCAATAAGAGGATCAAGTCACTTTTCTTCTAACTTTTTACACCTCTWTTGGATAGTTACACCCACACTAGTATTGACATTCTTTATACTAGTATTAACAGGAGCAGATGCATCAGAGCATCAAATCCATTGAATGTGCTAGTACTGCAGGTATGATGTGGTGTGGTGTGGTTTGATACAGTAGAATGCTCTGTGATTTGATCTAGTATAAGCTATTGYGATGTAATCTGAAATTCAATACTGGGAAAGGTGGCCCATAAAATGATGTGCAAASTACTAATWTTGGTCCGATAKTAGTATTTTGTAGGATGGAGGCTCCTGGAGTCATTCTCTGGTGTTGCAACACTGCCAGTGTTAAACTATTCTGCAACAAAGCYTGCCAAGGTTTCAGTGCCAATAGAAAGGAATCTAATAGATGTCATTGCCTTTCTCAAAGATATCCTACTATGATTGCAATGCCAGGAAAGTCAACCAGCTTGAGAACAGTGGAGGATATGGATACTGTCTTCCTGACAGGAACAGAGACTGCCTGAGTCACTGAATCCATGCTTCCATTGWTCAAGAACTGTAGCACCATTGGTAGGAGATCATTGTAACACTYGTCTATGGCAAGGACATTYGTATCAAGGAAGCCAATAGCTTTACTGCCAAGAGACTTCCAACCTRCAAACTCAAAGAAATTTTTCCTTGTCCACCTAWTCTTACCAACATTACCAACACTAATGTTACTACTAGTAGTACAAATCTCAACATCATAGCATTCATGACAAGAATGGTTACTAGTAGTAATATGAATGATCAACCAAGAAAAGAGACTACAGATGAAGATTAATTYGTAATTGCTGCAACAAATAACATCATAGAAAATCTCAAGACAAGAATGCAGCAGATTTTGATAAACTTTCTTTGACAGCTCAGCTGAATGTTGAAGCTGATGGTTATGCTGGCACCTTTCAAGCTCAGATGAGAAAGCCTAATTTCATCACACCAGTTTTACTGTCATGCCCAGCAGTCCTTCACATTCAATCTCACTCAGTAACAAGCCAATATAACAGAGCTCTCAATAACTCTTGTTTGATTCCCTGATATCATGCATACTCGGCAGACAAGAACTGGCCATCATGTGTCCTTGCTGATATTGCCTGGAAGTCACTGAGCATTGCCATCAATTACATCTCCAGGAATGTTCTGGTCATCAAATGTTGSAACACTGRAGAGTGTCACACAAGATGAGCTKGTCTTTGATGCGTACTCCAAGAAGAAACGTCATCAACCATCTGCATTGTCAAGGACTCCCTTGGCCTCTGCTGTCACAACCAGGACTATTCAAACTACTAGTATGACCCAGTATTCCACCCACAAAAATCCCTGGTTGCACTTCCACAACCACTTGTTGGAGGGAAGTGCTGCCCCTTGGAGCAACTCAGAGCATACTTCRCACTCAAAGCTATGGTTCTGGCCATATATTGCCTCTTCTAGTTCACGAAGTTAAATATAATATTATGATTTGTTTTAACATCATTGAAAATCTCAAGGCAACCACAAACCAAGAGCAGTTGATCTWTTTTACTGGAAAAAATCAAAAGTAATTAAATCATTTTGACATTATTGTAAGATGCTTTGCAAAGAATTGGGAGTTAGCTTTTCTAACAGAGCTCTGGCTGTCATATACACAAYAGGAACAGAAGCAGGTAGGATCAATGGGGAAACAAGAACACACAAAGCTTTCCTTCTAAACTTTGACCAATGGTGAAATGTTACTACACCGGATGATGCATGGGAAAATGAGACTTGCCTACTTGTAATTGTCAATGACATATAATTTGGTAGCATCAAACAGATGGAAATTTTGAATGAGTATCTGAACTTATTGTATGACAAGYTGTCATATAATTTCTCTGGGAATCTACTATCCCTTGTTTTTGTAGGCGACGACTTCAATGAACTCAACCAGTTGAAGGAGACTCCCTCTTGTCAAAAAATGATTTCTATCTTCGGAGAGGAAAAAAAAATATTTTTTGTGAACTTAAAGCAACAAACCAAAGGTTTAAGGATGATTTAATCTGCTGGTGGGAGAGCTTCTTGACAATTTAAGATAAACSAACCTGAAAGAACAAGAGCATGTTCAAATCATTGTCAGTTCAAGAATTGTAAAACATTGGGGCAAACACCCAGAAGACATTGCTTATGCAATACACAACAATRCAGACAAGAAGTGTGCAATAAATGATGGCATATTTTCTGAGTCTCTGAAAATGGCAGCACATTCAAAAAATATGTCTGACAGATTACCAGATCACACAATTCTTGTAATCAAGTTCTCATCAAACCTAAAACAGCAGATTGGCAAAACAAGAAAATATAGAGCAGACATGCCAGATTTTCAGAAATACTACTTACCAACTGCCACATCAGATGCTGACATTGTTGCAGGTGTAACCAAATCTTCCAAAAAGATAGATAATAGATACTGAGAAAGTTAAATGGATAGAGGTGGTCCTTGAAGAAGACCCAAAAAAGTAATCACTTTTAATTTCTCAACACTGCAGCAAAGACTAAATTTCAATGTCCACAAGAAATATGAATAAAAGATGACMCATCAAACCCAAACAAAAAATCACGAGGGAATACATTTAGCTCCATTCTTGCCAATGCAAGAACTGGTATTCACAGATTATAGAAGATCTTTCTTGGAAAATGTGTTGGTTTCATTTTTTTGGTATTAGTACTACTATGCATTGTGCATCAATTGAAATTACATTTCACAGGTCATTACAAATGTCAGACTTACTAACTTTTTGAATGTCAATATGTCACTCTACTAGGCCTATGTAGATCCTAGTAGTATAATCCCCATTTTTTATTTGGTAGCGCGCCCGCATCCAAAAACAAGAATATTGGTCTTCTTTCTTAAAAAAGAGGAAGAAGAAGCTCATGTTGCTGGCTAATATTCTGACTGTTAAGTGGAAGGAGGTGGAGTTAACATACAGAATGTCAAATTCAAGCAAAACCTCAGTACTCATTTCTACAAAGGCCTATGGTGGTGCTAACATTTGGAATTTCACCAAGCTAATTTTTGGAATGCTCTGTGAAATTTGATTCCAATTGATTGACAATGCATAGTACTCAAACAATTGGTGGATTTATGCGGTTCCTTGTCTTATTGTGCTGCTTTCAAGAGTTAGTACTACTACTAGTACTAGTAGTAGTAGTCTACAAATAGGAGGAGAACTCCAGCAGTGGTCTGCTCATAAGAACAGCAACTCTTCCTCCTCTTAAAAAAAACACCAACAAAACAATACCCACTKCACTTGTGACGTAGACAGCAAATCAGTGAATTCCATTTCTATTTCTATTTCAGAAACAACAAATGGCCAGAGTGCTTTCATTGATTTGCTTCCACTACTACATTCTGTTCAGATGAATACTTCTTTGTGTTAGCCAGTCAATTCATTTTTTCTGAAAAAAATTGAAATCGACACCATTCCAGGTTCGCTTGATTTTTTATGGCAGCCTTTTACGTGACTGAATGGTGATTCGTGATTGATTTTTGTGATACTACGCGTTTTGTAACAATTGAATACAGTCACAAAAGAGAGCAAAAACAAGTAATAATTTCAAGTTCTTAACTTCGATTTGAAGTTATGAACTTTTGCTCATACATCATGTACCAGGTTCTACTGAGCTAGTTTTWAAAAAATGACTGCCAAATGGCTGAATAGATTCCCGGGCCCCCTCAAAACAAAACAAAAATTGTACAGGGAGATTGAGGTGATTCAATCATGAATCCGGCCTTTCAATCATGAATGCCATCCAAAAACTAGCTCAGTAGGACCTGGTAGACTTTCTACCAGGACMTTTTGAAGTTCATAACTTCAAATCAAAGTTTAGAACTTGAAATTATTACTTTTTGCTCTCTTTTGCGACCGTATTCAATTGTTACRAAACGCGTAGTAATGGGTGATTCCCATTACTCTAGATCCCTAAAACTCTAAATCTAGGGATCTGGAGTAACGGGAATCAAGACAATCAACGGACAGACTGAGAGGATGCCCGCTCGATGCCAGTCTTATACGGAATTTGGAACCCTAATTATTTTTCAAGGTAAAGACTAAAAGACTTAAYSCGCGCCATGGTTCAAAGTAAAATTGATGTTCTTGAACGGACTCGAAATTTTTATTCGTGGATTCCACTCTAAATGTAGAGTATTTAGGAYGGGTCGGTTTGACCAGTCCTAAACTTGCTAAATCTGGAGTCATTTTCACTAAATTTTTGGTCTGTCAGTCTATCAAATCTAGAGTTTTTAGAGTAACGGGAATCACCCAATGATTCTTCGCACGTGCAGCAGTTTTCTCATCGTACGATCAAAACGCATGACCCTTAATAGTATTAATGACCCCTGACGTACCTCCGTTGATGAAATAGGAGCGAAAAAGGTAGGTTTCGGACGACACTGCGAATAGGAATCCCATCAAAATCTGAGAAAAGCAGAAAAAGCACGACCTTCCTGGAGAGCGTGTCATATCACACATACAAACAGTGGAACATCGTGCAACTCAATATCACCCCTGAGGTACGAGAGCACGACTCAAATCGCCGTTTAAATGAATTTGATCGTACAGTATGTTTTAACGAAGAAATACATCTACTTGCCGCAACAAACGAAGGATGATGGTCATGGTGTGGCGGTCACATGCAAATAGAACAACAATCAAAACACAAAACATGTGCTGTTAGTCGCAGAACCCTGTCCCGAACCACAACGTCTAGCAGTTGCTCATTCCTTCAACAAAACAAAGTACCAAGCACTCTAGAGGTGTTATCAGATTTATCAGTTGCAAAATCAAACCTGTGAAGTTACCATTGTCATCGCARCAACTGCCGTTCGCCCTAAAACTCTATTTTCCCGCTAAGATTTACAGATTTGCATTACCCATACATTACCAAAGAAAATTWTARTACGGAGACACTTCCGATCGTCTGTATAGCAAACCTGGAAAAATTGTTCTAACATGCAACCAGAAGCTCAGCAACGGAATAATTGCGATTGCAATCAAGGAGACGAGGATGAATACASTTCACTCACAATCTGCAAACAGACGGAATCATCACCGACAGAAAACGACACAGAGCAAGAAACAACTATGATCAGTAACCAGCACCCAAATGTTCAATGTTTGAATGTCGACGAACCCCAGAAGCTGAAATTGATTGTACGATCGCAATATTGGGGTAGAGGCTTGAAGGGTAGGACATGTCGAAATGTACATACGAAATTGAATGTCAAAGCCCCACGCGTGATCTCAAGTCAAGCCGTTTTATACCATACTGACGGATTTTGGGGTTGTTGCCCAAATCATGGGAAGAGAGTTCTAGAGCTACAAGAATACCACTTCTCCGYTGTGGGTTGTGATTGGGATTTGTACTTGGTAGGTACGTGGGTTTCTCCCGGACAACATATTCACGATTTCTTTCTTTTGCCACAACAACAAGACTCGGTCGACATCAGACACAACGAAATCTATAATCGATGGTCATTCGTTGGAACATGCAAAAAAGACAACATTCAATCTGGTATCGATGGTCTCCTTCGTAATTTATTGGAACAGAATAACACCCACGGTCATCGATACCACCATGCCCACATTGATATAATGATGGATGAGGCCTWTGATCGTGAGACTCCAAGATCGCGAAAGTTAAACAACGAGAAGCTTCGAGCGGAGCGAAGAAATAGCACGAACTCAACGCCGAAAGATTGCGAACGACAGGAATCATCTGTTTCCTCCGATGGTACAGCATCTACCGAACAAGCCACAACCGATCACGAAAGTCCACCTTCCACCACAAGCCAAACCAGTAACAAGAACAACCAACATGGTATGAAGWCTATTGGAGCTCCGCCTATTCCTCGTGTAATCAATAATGATTCTACAATGGTTTCGGGATCATATCCRCTTCAAGCGCCACATTCACTGCCAACCCCTGAAGCCACTTATCGAGATGCAGGGTGGACGGCAGAACCTACATACTGGAACCATGAACGTGGTACCGTTTCCTCACTTTATGAGATGCATAATGGTAGATCGGCAACTGTTGCGACAGACTGCAACRMCCAACATGTATATTGGCAATCTGGCAAAAACATGGCATTTTCCGGAGGACTGCCGCCCCATCCGTACCCCTGCTGGCAAACCTTTCCTGCGCCAGTACCTCRTCCACCGTATCCTGTACCAGATSTACACCACATATACAATCATCAGAATCACCAGACTACTTTCGTTTATCCAGGAATGCACCACATGTATCACCAACACCAACCCATGGGAGGTGAAATGCATCAATATTTCGAATCGATGCATCTACATCCACACTATCCTCATACCACATCGCCCTCATTGCATTCGAATAACGGTGTGGAAGCCGTTGTCGCCAACGATTTTAATCAATATCCCGRTACACAAGTAGACGCTACAAGTGAGGTTGCCAACCAAAATCTCCCACTTCCTGCTAACAAAGGTTCGGCGTTGCCCGTCTCTTCTTCGCCTTCGGCAAGCGACGCTGCGGAGACTGTACCGCCCGATGGTGATTCTGTAAATGGTGAGCCAGTTGACGATAAATCTACTGCCAAAGTCTCTGAGTGTAACACTGCCGAAGCTCGACAACAGTGATCGATACTTGAGAAGCACAAATTCGAGGACCGAATGAACCCAAGTAGGTTACTGTGCATTGTCGCATATGGATTCCACCTGATGACCAAATCAATTTACAACGACGGATGAGTCTCGAAGTGAAAGGTACCCTAAAAATAGAAAAATAATACATGTTTCCGCAATACAAATTGCTGTTCTTTATTGRTWATGATAATTATCTATACATCATTGTTTGCGCATTGCATCCTTGGAATAAACACATACAACTTCAATGGATGCATCATCTGAATCCAACTTGCTGGAATCAAAATAATCGAGACTAATGTCTGAATGATGTTCAATCCGAATGGTACACTTAATATAATTTTTCTTTTTTCATTCCAACCTTCAAAAGAACCACTACGAAAAAACAGAACRCTGTAAATAAAGCGCCACCGGCGAGCACATACCATCCTGCCGTGGTATCCGACTGGCGATACAAATTCACCCCAACATTKGGTGACCAGTAAGGTTCGGTCCATAGCGGACTCACGCCAGCGTCACTACTTGAAATATCAAAGAACCCAGTGTTCTTGTTCGGTGTTGGGACCAACGCTTCATCGAGAGCGATATGGTAGAATCCTCGCTTGCAAACACAAACGTTGTCGGCAGAACACATAGCCGAGTCAGCATCTGCCCCACAATATGAGATGCCCTTACATGCGCCAGCCGACGAACACTTCTTGGGCGATAGATCAACGCCGTTCTCGTCTACCATGGAAGACCCCTTTCCCAAAAATGAGTGAAGCATATTCCTCAGTGCTTGTTGTAACATTTTTGGTTGCATTCCAAACGAATCTCCCTTTGACTTTCCGTAATCCGCTCCGTCATAGGAACCGTACCATTTGGAACCAACCTTGACAAAGGGCTGCCCAGTATTCATGTGATAAATGCCAACGTAATAATTTGGCGGCATTCCAAGGGATTGACCAGTTCCAATGTTGAAGCCAGTCTTGTCTTTATCATTAGCAGCTTCCATCGAGGCATGCTTTTTTAAGAGTTTACAGTTGCCATTRACAAAGAGACAATTAGCCAAGTCAACCAGGACGTCATTTTCATACGAGAGTTCCGGTATGGCGTTCTTTGCATAAGTCGAGGCCGATTCGTAATCGTATTCTCCATCATCATAAGCAGCAGCCAGTGCCGTTCGGGCCATAATAGTTGCTGAAGAAGCAATGGCCTTGAGGTTCATATTTTGATCTTTGATCCATTGTAAGTGTGATTGATACGGTGGGCGCTTGGTAAAGTGGTAATCATAACCCGTCAAAACAGCACCGTCCACATTACCTCCAGTTACAGACAAAAGAGAGTTCAGGGGGGTCGGTGGATAAGGGTACCCRTCATTCCCATTATTAGCTGCAGATGCAACCGCTGTATAGTAACTAGTTCCAGAGTATTTCATGACTTTGGCCAGAAAAGCTCCCATGTCAGTTTCACCTGAGTTGTGCACGTACAAGTTACCGTCTCCCGAGGGTACTCCAACCTGATCAACTGTCAGCATGGCCGCAATTTCTCCAATATCTTTAAATTTCAGACTAGGCCTCATAGGGTAGAGACACGCCATGTCGGAGTTTTCGTCGTTTGCTTTTGAACGGACCTTGTATTGGTCCATGCAGTTAAAATTGTAAACGTCGTCGATGAATCCTCTGGAGCCAAGATATCCGTATGCCTCTCCTTCAAAAAAACCGAATACAATTCGATTTGGAAGTTGATCTAGAGTAGCATCATCAACTGATTGACCCAAAAGGTAGGCTGCCATGATTGTAGCTAGAACATTTGATGCACCTTCGTTCGATCCTGGTACGAGATCATGAAACATGGAAGTCGAATCAACGGATGTACCCACTACAACCGCCGGCTTGGCATTGCCGTTGTTAGCGTTCGAATCATCGCTGCTGGGAGGTGGAGACCCAGCAAATCCCCAAACGCTAACTCCTCCAAGTGGAGCACATTTTGGATTCCAATTCTGGCTTTCCGTATCGACCCATGCGAGACAGTCTTTGCTGTTGATTCCATCGGGTCCCATGTAAAAATTGAATTCCGTATAAATATCACTGGCTTTGTTCTCGTCTTTTGCAGCACTKCGAATATAGTATGATGATTCGTATTCATCGATGTACACCATTGGAACTCCGTACAAATCGGAATGGACAAGTCCATCACCATTGGAATTCCAAGCGAATGAATTGTCGCCGTAGCTAATACCTTCTGATGGAGTACCGTAACCAAGAGGATATTTTGGTCCCGGTGAAGGAAAGTCATTCGAATCGTTTGTATCGGTTCCATTCAAGACCATAATACCTTTAAGATTACCTTCTGTGTTGTATGACACAAGCTTGTTAATTACTTCCGCTGTCATGTAATATTCTTCAATGACTGCAACGTAGTCTTCGCCGGCAGCGGGAACACTGCTGCTTCCATCGTAGTAGAAAATTGGCCCCGACTGAATTTCCCGATCGACCGTACCACAGCCTGTGCGTCCTTCTCGATTATAAAGAGTTGTGCATGGACTGTGCTTGAGGTTGTGGAAGGAGGATTGGAAAGGCTCATTCAGACTCTGGTGTTTGTTCGAGCCGGAGAGAGCGTCTTCTCCCTGCGCAACTGAGAGCGACAACAGAAGCAACGGCCACACACCGCGTAGTCTATTCATTATTTTACTTTTGTTGTTAATGTTCTTATTGTTCTTATTGCAATGATGTGACTATCTATCAATTTGCTGTCGATGATCCTTACTTGATGACGGTTTGACGAATGGTGTTCTTCAAACAAGAAAGCAAGGGAGAGCTTCCAAACTTCCCAGTACGAAGTGATACGAAGTGATACTCGAAGTGAAACATTTTTTTAATTTAGATTTTTCACCCTCCAACCGTGAAATTCAAATACGACCGTTTAAGCACGCGCGCGCGTCGAGGCGCTTTTCATCACAAAAAAAATGCTGAGTTTTTTTCGAAAATCTATGAACGATGAAAGATGATACTGTAACTTTCAAAGTAAAGTTTGCTACTCGCACCGGTTGTTAACCCAAAAATAATTACGGTAAGAATAATGGTACATTATTGATTACGAATAATATCGTACACTACCCATTTGGTTAGATTATCTTCTATGTTGCCTTTACATTGATGAGAGAAGACGAGGAATGCCGTGTTGCCGAGCGATGAGTAGATAAAAAATAATTTTACGCAATGTAGTAACTTGCGATACGCTATAGAAATTACGAGGGCATCTCGACCAGTGATACACCATATCACCATCTAGGGGACATCCATCAAGTCGCAAACGAACGAGAAGATGTATCATCAATAAAAAAGTATCGATACAATACCAAATGGGATAGGGTAAGGGTAATCCGAAACATTCACCAAAACAGAAGTAAACCAGACAAAAACAAAATTGAATATTACATACTGACCAATGGAATATTTTACAAATCAGTTAGTTGAGGACCTTTATTTCGTTGGGATTCTAAACAAATGCATGTTCAAGGGTTTTGGAATGTACTCTTGATTGCTGTATCCATACGGAAATCCTATTGGTGAAGAAGTGATAAATAAACTAACAAAACTGAATACGTCCACTAGTAGTTACTTCCATCACTATCATCTCCGAGCTTAATTACCTTGTTGMAACCGGAGACGATCCATTCGCTCGCACTATTTTCCATTCCACCAGATGGCAATGTTTCTTCCTTCAAAGGGCAGTTCTTCCATTACAAAGCGGGGATCCTTTCGGAGAAGATACGTGCAAAATTGTTCGTGTGTCCGGACTGACACCAGCTTAGGCGAGCTCCCATCCTCGGGATCATCTACCAGTATCCGTCTCATTGGAAAAAAATTTGGAAAGACACAACAGGGGACGACCACAAAGGGCTTCTTGTACTCCAGGGCGGCATCTACGATGGCCTCGGTTGCGCCGTCGGCGTGGAGGCCTACGATCAGAGTTGCGTTTCGAACCGCCAATTGCAGGTCCGTGGGTGTTTTGGCCTCCRATGGTACTGTGCTTGGTGGCGACGACGGTGATACCAACGGATTGGTGGTCTTCGCACTATAGCACGCACTCTTAGTGACTACCTTATGTTCGTCAAAGGTGGTAACCAGTTGCCGAAACCTCGCCCCGACAACGTCCTTGACAAAATTTGGGTTTGCTTCTCGTTTCCTTTCGAGCTGKYKCTGCCACTTGTTCGGAATCTTGGGAAGGACGATGCGTTCGTAGCAGTCCACAATATCTGCTGGCCTCGGATCGACCATGATCACTTGCTGCTGGTGGCACATGGTGAGCCTCGCAGAAACTTCCCCCTTCCCCCCTGCCACGTCTAGGATGTGCATCTGCTGTCGCGGCCTCTCTGTGTTGTTGTCGTTTTCGTCTTCATCTTCGGAGACTACAACTCCGCGGACCTCGTCGACGACTCGATCGTCGGTTTCAAAAGCGCTGCTACTCCTGCCTGTACTCTCCCCAGCATTTTGTTCGGGACCGGTGGCATTCGTTCCACCACAGCTGGTCGTCGCTGTTGGATCGATTGTGATTCGAGACCGCGATTCTTCCAAGTCGAATGTTTCCAGCAGCCATTTCACAAAAAACTTGTGCCGGTGCTGGTTTCGGGCCCCGTGGCGCTTTTTCTTTTGCTTMTGTTTCTGGTGTGWTTTTTGCTGCTGTCGCCYGTGGCCTTGGTTCAGAGTTTCCGGGTGGTCGGATTGCTTGGAATCCGTCTCAACCCTTTGGTGCAYATCAGCTTCAATTTCGGTTGTCGGTTCGGACGACTCTCCTATTGGCAGCGGTTGGCCAGTTGCCGGCTGGAACAAAGGCGGAACATGTGATAGGTCCTTTTCTCCGACGGGCGCTTGTCCCGGTTCTACCGGTATCATYTAGATCTATCACTATACTTTTCTTTTCTCTTYGTCCCAGGGCTCACTCTTTTAACAGTCTGATAAAGATGGTTCCGGACTTTATTTTCGTTTTGGAGGTTGTGGAAATGTATTGTGAGTATGATGGTTTTGTAGTGCTTTCTCGAGAATCAAAATCATCCTTTTGGGAAATTATGGTCCCATAGACTCGTACGGTACGTAGTGGTACTGTATCGTGCATCGTGCTCTAGATGTCAACAGTACAGGAGAAAAATGATTGGTTGTGGCCGCCGCCTTTTTTTTTTTTTAAGGACAGCGGCGGCCAAAAAAACTTACTACGGTGCAAAAACTAGGCTATTGGTAATAGAATGACTTGTTGTCACAATAATGGCTGAATGTTTAAGTTAAAAATGAATAATTTATTTCGGTAAAGGTACTAATTTATTTGCAAAAATTAATATACCAGGGTTTGTACAAATCTACACTAAAAAAAGTTTCTTTTTGTTTCCTCCGGAAGTCCAGGGCAGTAAGAATTCTTCAAAGTTACTGGCTAGGCCCACTAAAGATAGAGATAGTGAAGTGCAGTGCACCGTAACCAATTGGCCATGTGTCATCGTACGACCCAGGGGTATAAATTAAGGAGGGGTGCGTGGTGTGCGCGACGCAATCATTTTTTGGAGCACATTTTGGAAAACTTGTATTCCATCCTCTAGTCCTTCTTGGCAGCAAGAAGAAAAAATTCACCCCAGGTTTTTCCTTTTTCTCCTTTTTTACTGGGCCCTCCATTAGTTTTTAAGGAAGACAGTCACCAAACAAGATCAGGGATTCCCATAGATTTTTCCATGTTATAACAAAGAGAAACAAAGAGAGAATTGCCCAGGCAATATTATCTTTGTTTCTCTTTGTTAAAAATCGACGAATCAAAGAGAAACAAGGAGAAGCAATATTCTCTTTGTTTCTCTTCTTTGTTTAAACATGAAGAAACAAAGATAATATTGCCTGGGCAATATTCTCTTTGTTTCTCCTTGTATGAACGGGAATTGCTCCCATCATTTCACTATGTAAAAATATTCTCTTTGTTTCTCCTTGTATGAACGGGAATTGCTCCCATCATTTCACTATGTAAAAATACAGAGAATAGTGCCCAGGTTTCATTTACTCTGCTTAAACAAAGAGAAACAATGAGAAAATARCCCAGGCAAYATTCTYGTTGTTTCTCCTTATTTAAACAATGTGAAACAAAGAGAAACAAGGAGAGGCAATGTTCTCTTAGTTTCTCTTTGTTACAACAATGAGAAACAATGAGAATATTGCCCTTTTAAACAAAGAGAAGTATTCTCTTTGTTTCTCCTTGTTTCATGGGGGAGGGCCCTGCAAAACACTACTAGAAGTACTAGCTACTAGTAAAACTATCCAACATAAGTTGTCATAACCTTATCAAAACCACTACCGGAGAGCGCCTGATTAGAGGTTTAACCAGTCCCGTATGACTGAACTCAACGGATGATGCACAATATCATCTCGCGTGACCTCCATTTTCTTAAGAACAAGAAGCCATACTCTGTTTTGGGGGTGTTATCTCTTTCTATTTTTTGGGGAGGAATGACTCAATAAAAAATGTCAAGTCATGGATAATAAAATTTTAATAAGCTGATAATAAAATTCTATTATCATTTTATTAGTAAACAAATAATAAAATTTTAATATG